TATTAGGTTTAATATATTTTTAATTTCAAATAACACAACAGCAAATATATTCAACATTTATTAGTAAATATATTCAACATAATATTACAAATAACGCAGCAGTGAATATATTCAACATTTAATTTCAAAAATGCATGTTATGGTGTTCAGTCTTGTCATGCACGCAGAGTACAGACGGTTACTGTATCCATGTGACATACATTTATTAGTAAGAATCTCGTAGGCCTGCATAGAATTGGTAGGCATGCAGGGAATTGGTTACTATAGACGGAGTGCAGATGGTAGCTAGAGTGTTGTCTTGTCAAGCATGCTGCAGGCGACTCACACAAACAAATGCTTTTCTCCGTTTGTTGTACACATTCAAATGTTTTCTCTATCTAATTTTCAACCTCTTCTTCTTAGGTTTACTCGTTATTAGGGCAAATAAAATTAGTTGTGTATTCTATTAAAACTTACTCGTTATTAGCTTTATTATATTTTTAATTATAATATTTTAATAATAATATTGGGTTAATAAATGCAAACATAATATTTTTAATGTTACTATTCTTTTTAGTAAGAATCTCGTAGACCTGCATAGAATTAGTAGGCATGCAGAGAATCGGTTACTGTAGACTGAGTGCAGATGGTAGCCAGCGTATTGTTTTGTCAAACAGTTTACTGTGGCGCGCAGAGTGTTGTCTTGTCATGCAGCTCACTCAGTAGTCACGCAAAGTGTTGTCTTGTCATGCAGCTCCCTCAGTAGACACGCAGTGTGTTGTCATGTCATGCACCTCCCTCACCAAATTGTTATTAATACAGTAGGAGATCTGAATTATTATCATATCAATTAATAAAACAGTCCCTCCAAACACAATTTTTGCTATGTCTCAAACACCACAATACATGATTAGTGCACATCTGAACGATGAAGTTTTTGAATGTGACATAGCCGGTTACAATTTCAGAAACACTGATGTTACGAGATTTTTAATTGACAGAAGGTCAAATTTTTTGCACTTGAAGTCAAGGTTAGAAAAAACTGCAATGTGGTCCAGTTGGCCAAATAATATACAAAAATCCAGTGTTTTTTGGTGGGCATAGTGAATGCAAAATTTTCCCACGGCGACTCTTTGACCTAATGCTAGGGTAAAGGGCGTTTTCGTCCACGGCGGGACCTAGGCTATTAGGGTTTTGAAACGGTAAAAAATTAGGGTTATTGACTCGGCGGTCAAACTGCTAGACCTAATTCCTTCGGAGGAGAAAATTAACGGTAAAACATGCAAACATGGAAAATATTATATGACAGAAATTAAAGTGCGGAGAGTAAAGAAAGCGTCGCGACGATCACTCGCGTAAATTACAAACCCCAATAAAAGGAAAATAAAATAAAACCGCGATGATGGCCTCGCGTAAATTACATATATGGACCAACATAAATTAAATAAACTAATCAGAATTTAAGTATAGTCTGAGGAGAAAAACAGAGAACATTTGTGAGAAGGGTTAGACAGAAATATGGCAAAAAATGAAACAGTTAGTATTGAAAGAAAAACAAACTACAATTTGGAATTTTTATTATTGTTTTATTAGTTTTGAAAAAGGATTTTAGTTTTAATTTTGAAGAAAAGAATTTTAATCTTAGTTAAAAAAAGGTTTAGTTTAAGTTTTAAAAATTTGTTTTAGTTTTAAATTTTAACAAAACTCTAATTTTAATATTTTAGAAAAAACAAAATTTAATTATTATTTTGTGAGGAAGAAAGTTTTAACTTTAATTTTTTTAAAAATGTTTATCAATTTTTAAAAAAAAGTTTTATACTTAAAAAAACAAAGTTTTAATTTGTATTTTAAAAAAAGGTTTTTATTTTATTATATAAAAAAGTTTTTATTTTAGAAAAACTTTTAAGAAAAAAATTTTAATTTGTTTTATAAAAGTAGAACATTCACTTATTTTTAAAAACAGAATTTTCAATTAAAAATAAATGTACTACTAAAACAACAAAAGGGAAAACAAAAATTGGGTTGGATTATGGTTATTGCTGCATGCAGCGCCGCTTTCCTTGTTGTCTATTGAAGCTTTTTCTTCTTTTTTGCATGACCACGATCCCTTCTTCTTTTCCTGCAAAGTTACTCACCTTTCACGGGTTTGCCGCTGTCCTTGTTGTCTGTTGAAGTTTTTTCTTCTTTTTTGCATGACCACGATCCCTTCTTCTTTTCCTGCAAAGTTACTCACCTTTCACGGGTTTGAAGTGGTTTTCTACGATGTAGTTCGTTGATGATGAACGATGATGGTTTTTTTCAAAAATCTCTCCTCTTCTGATAAGTCGTGAGAACGGCCGCCGTTTTTCTCTTTTTTTCTCCTTCCTCTTTCTCAAATACAACTTATGTTTATATAGGTAACAAATTAGGGTTAACTCTAACCTAATGTCCACTTTAAAGCTCAACTTAAATTAATATTAAAACTAAATAAAATTTAAACAATTTAAAACAAACTTAAAATTCTATTTATTTATACTAAACTTTAAAAATATTATAAAAAAAATAAAATCTTTTCTAATATTTTTAATTTTATGATTTTGGGATGTTTTTATGAATAATATGGAAAAAAGTGAAAAAATAATATTTTTTTAAAAAATAATTTAAATAAAATACGAAAATAATAATTAAATAATAAAAAAACTATTTTTGTTAGAATAAATAAAACTATTTTAATAATTAAATAATTAAAATAGAAAAGTTAGAATAAAAATAAAAGAAGCAAAGCAAAAAGTGAAGAATGTAAAATTCGAACTCTTGACCTCTCACACTGGGTCTCTTGCCAATTGTACTATTTTATTCATTCAATATAAAGTGGCACTAGAAACCCTGTAAACTAAAAGAGCGCGCAACATGATATTTTCTTACAACAATCAACCAACTGACTAACCCGTTAGTGGTTAGTTTAAACGCAATGCAAAATGAAATGGGATGCAAGATGAAACGACTAATCTTAGGGCAAAATTTAGGGTATTACAACAGTCGTATTTATAGAAAAATAAAATAGTACGTGCGTCATATGATATGTCTTAAATACCCTTACAAAATTTATATTTTTTTTTTCAACAAATACCAAATTTTTTCAACGTAAAATATAAAAATATCAAAATTCAAACGTGACCTACTATTATATATTTTAAATTTATATATTTAATTATATATGAATTATATTTTAAAAATATATGTTAATCATATATTTATTATGTTTTAAATTTTATACCTATTTATATTTATTATGTTTAAAAATTATATACAACTATATTTATTATTTTATAAAACTATATCATAAAAACTATATTTATTATGTTTAAAAATTATAGACAAATATATTTATAATTTAAAAATTATATTTATTGTTTAAATCAATTTAAATCAATTTTTATTTTAAATCACAAATATATTTAAAATATATTTAAAAACTATATCACAAATATATTTATTATTTTAAATATATTTAAAACTAAATCAATTTAGATATATCACATAAAACAAAAAATATAAAAATAAAAATAAAAACAAATAAAAAGAAAATATAAAAAATTGGAAACGAAAAAAAAAAAATGAACAGGCCTGATTCGCCAATTGGATTGGCGAATCTGTTGAAGGCCATTAAACTAATTCGCCATTTGGGCTGACGACTCTGTACAAAGGGAGGTGTATTCCCCAAATGGTTTGGCGACCCAAGGTTGAATGTTAGCTACTTTGAGAAATTGTTTGAAATCTTATTTTATTTGAAATTTTTTTAAAAATAGTTGTTTATATTAAAAAAAAATCGCAAGTTGATAATCGCAATTGTTTTTCTCAATTTCTAAAACTATTTTCAGAAACAATACTGCCAAACATTTTTTAAATTTTGTTCTTAAATATAATTTTTTTAAAGTGATTTATAAAATAGTATTTAAAAACAAAAAGGTATGTAAAAAACATTGAATTATGCCATCAGTTTTTCCCTATGGGGAGGGGCAGCAATGTATGTTTAATTGGTGGAGAATAGAATTCATGGTTTGGACATGGGGCTACAATGCATGTTGAATTGGTGGAGAATAGAATTCATGCGTTGGACATCTAGAGAGAAAATCTTTAAATTCTATTGTAAGAAGAATAAATCTGATTAAACATGAGAAAATCTTTAAATTCTATTGTAAGAAGAATAAATCTGATTAAACATTATGACAGAAATTAATTTATGTAATTGACTCCACTTAACATTATGGTTGCTTCCAATATGAAAACAAAAATAAATTTTAGTTGGTAAAAGAAAATGAATGCCACTCTAAATTAATTTTACATGATCACGTATCCTACTAAATCAGGCCAAAATTTTCAAATAATTTGTATGAAAATCATGTAAAATAATTTGTATGACAATCATGTATTCCTCTAAATTAGATTGGAATTTTTAAATGACTTGTCATTTTCATTGACAGTTACACAGTCAATGCATCTCCATTCAAAATTTTTTTATTTTAATCAACAGTTAAAATTTATTTCAAAAATTAAGCCAACAAAATCCTATTATCATAAAAATACTTAAGTAAAAAACAAAATACACCAAAATAAGTAAAATTGCACAATTTCACAATATCTTGCTTATGCTTTATTTAGCCAACACTACAAACAAGATCTTTGCTACGAATACGATTACAATGACACAATAATAACTTGTCTAGAAAAAGACAACAAAAGCCAACTCAGACAATAGAAACAAAAACAGTAGCTATAACATTTTCATTTTAACAATGGTGGGGGTCCAAAATCCAATACATGGCCAAACTAATTTGTCACCTTGTTTCAGGTTGTTATTTTCAGCAACATAACATCAAATCCTGCCAGAAATTAGTACCATTCATTCTTATTTGTAGCTACCAAAGTTTATGACACTAGGAAAATCTACAGAAATTTCAGAAAAAAACTAAAAAAGCACTCATCTATCCAACAACCTTAGTCAAAGCAATAGATATAAAACCAAATCAAATGATTCTATTTCACTTTGTATGTGTTGTTTGGCTGCTACTCTCCAAAGCCTCTTCTTCCCTTTCCCTTTCAGCTTTCTCAACTAATCCAACCTCCAATTCTGACGGCTTCTTTTCACCGGAACTTTGTGCTCCTGTCAACCTTGCCAAAACCACAAAAGACATTCCTCCAAGAACATTGTTCGCAACCCTAAGCACCAACACGGAGGCCTTGAACACCAAAGGATTAAGCGCTCTCTCCAACATGAACTCAGCACCGTTTAGTGTTTGGTACCTAAAGTTGCTGCTGAGACCCATATGAGCAGCCCAAGTGAGAGAATTGAGCAAAGTAGGAGGCGCTTTGTTCGGTGTTTCAAAGGTTGGATCCATCTTCTTCCTCAGCTTAATCAACCCATTTGAAAGCGCAGTCCCAGCAAGACCAGCACCGAATCCAACAGCAGAGAAAATGGTTCCTTTGTAGACCAAAGTACCTAACCGATCCAATAAACTAAAAGCACCGGGTTCAAACATGTGACTCTTAGGACAAGATGCAAAGATTGCAGGCAAAGTAGCTGAAGCAGATCCTAATGTTGGTGCTAACAGATACATGAGTGTGAAATTGAGAATAGCACCAACAACAAGAGTTGAAAAAACAAAGTCGAGTTCATTCAAACCGAAATTAGGCCTCGAAGCCATATCACCTAAAACACATGCAGTAACACCAACCAACTCTTCCATCAAAACCTTGAAAGGAAATTGTGGATCAGCAGCAACCCTTGATCTCCAACCATTCAGAAACAAACCCAAAATCCCAAAAGATGAATCTTTTGAATTTGAATTAGAATTTCCATCATCCTTATCAGCACCACCCCAATTACCACCTCCACCACCTCCACCACCACTACCACCACCACCACGACCAACCCCATCACCACCAGCGAAAGAAAGTTTCAATCTTTGAGGCAAATGGGTTGGTTTGGTGAGATACAAAGAACGGTTATTCAACTGTGGAGGTGATGATGATGACAATGGTGATGAAAATGGAATTGCATGGCTGTTAGTTTTACCAGAGGAGGGTGTAAAACGCAAAAGAGCCATAGTTGACATTTGATCTGCAACAAATGAAACATGAGAAACTAAAAAACCTAAACTTTGGAATAAAATCAACACTCTAGCATCATTTATTCATCATTCATGAAAATAAATAGATCGATACAATCAATAATAAGATCATGAAAATAAAAATCAAATTTATAATTAGATTATCAAAAAATTAAGAAGAAAACTGATCAAGTGTTTGTTTACCTGGATCTGGATGATGCGATCGGTGAAAAAGCGGAAGGATCGATGAAGGTTTGGTGAGAGTGTGAAAGTATAAGCTTAAACCTCAAAATGAAGAAGAAAAAAAGCGCTTTTTATATTAAGTTGTTATTTTAACTTTTTTTATTTTTTTAAAATTTTATTTGAGAGTGAAACTTTGGGAATAGAAAAAATGACAGGAGTGTGAGTAAATTCAATGTTCCGAGCGTTAGAGTATACTACCAATGTCGTCAAACCGGTTTGGTCTGTCTGTTAAAACCCGGGAAAACCGGAGTAACACAGAAACTGAACCGGTCTGATCCGGTTCAGTAAAACGTTTAAAAGTTGAACTAAGAAAATATAATACAGTACAATTAAATAACCAATGCATCTTTACTATTATATAGGTTAGATACAATGCATCTAAGAAATACAGTATAGAAAGTGTTTTGAAGATTTAACATATCAAGATTAAAAATAATATTAAATCTAAAATATAATACATAGAAAGTGTTGTAATAAATTCAGAAGTTATTAAGAACTTTAAATGTTTGGTCAAAACTAATAAAGCAAGTATTATTAAAAATATTGTATAATAATAGTATCGTCCTATTATAAAAATTTATACTATTTATTTTTAAATTTTATGATATGTTTGTATTTTAAATATAAAGGATTTAATTTAAATACATTATATGTAACAATAATTATATTATTAGTCAATCACAACAACTCTTAAATTATTAAACCTGAATTTTTAAAACCATGTATGAATCTGAATACAGGAGAAAAATACTCATTAATTTAAACCTCCTATTTAACGTCTTATTTTTAAGGTTCTAGAATTCTTTAACCCTTGTTTTGATGCTTTCTATTAAATGAATATTTTTTTAGCTTCTTCTTTTTATATGGTCTAATATTATTATTTTCTAAGGAGTTTAAATTAGGCATGACGAGACGGAACGGAGACTGGTTTCATCTTTTTTTTTTTAAATTAAAATGTGAATTTTTAATAAATATTTGTGATCTGTTTCCGTATCTATCGAAGATAAAAAAATTAAACTCTAAATAAGTTTCAAATGGATCCGAATTGAGTTTAGGTATTCCAACCTCAATCTCATCTCTTCGATGTAATAATTTTTTTAATAAATATAATCTTTTTCTTTAATATTAAAGTATATTACATATTAAATAAAAAAGCCAAATAATATCAAAAATTTTCAAACATATATTTTAAATAAAAAAAGTAAAATTCAAATTTTAAAAGGATTGACGACACAAGTATTATTTTAAATTATTAAAATTAAATAATAAAATAGAAAACTTATATAAATAGGGTGGGTTCGAAAAGAGTTTAAAAATATAAAATAAATATATTAAAAAAATTAGATTCAACAAAAATTTAATTATTAAAAAAAATTGGAAAAGACTTATAGTGAAAGTAGGCATGTTCACATATTTAACTGGAGCATTCTTACCACTCCTAAAAGGTGGTTGGACTAGGCTCGAAGAATTTAATGGTCAACAACAAGGCTTATTTTCTGAAATTCAGGTGGAAGTTTATGAGTGAGAACGATAAATTGCGATGTTAGGTGTTATTGAGACGAAAATATGGGAGAGGTAATGATGATCCTAGACAGATAATTACAAAGACAAACGACTCCACCTAATAGAAGAACTTTGGTAAGGACTAGAATAAGTTGCAAACACTCATCCACTGAGACACATGCAATGGGAAAAAAACTAATGCATGAAATGACATGTGGATTCTCTCAGGAGCTCTCAATGAGGTAATAGTAGCTAGCCAGTACGATTTTCAAGACATCAAAGTTGTTGACCTCGTTTAGGAGAATGGTGACTAAAACCTGGACCTTCAATCTAGAATGTTGCCTATTAACATTGTCAAAGAGATTATGGTCATTCATCCACCCGAGGCTAATATTAGAGATGTTATTTGTGTGTGGAGCGGAACAAAGTCTGGAGATTTCTCGGTCAGAAGTGCATATTGTAACACCTTAAACCCCAAAACATGAAATTAAGCGAATATACAACAACTACACACATATGGTGTCACTCAAAACACAACATAAACTTGGTTTGTAACACGGGTTATGTAAAACATGCATTAAATTAAAACCTAACATCACATGATAACCTTTACATAGGCTCATCGCAACGGAGTAATCAATTTAAATAATCTAACAAACAATTAAGTATCATAACATAAGCATGGTTATGGCAATTGTCTTCAACATCGCAAATGATAACAATGACAAAAAACAAATTATTTCCCTCTAAGTGTTACAAACCAGAGCAATGGAATCTAAAATAGCGCATAAAACGGAAAAGAAAGAAGAACAACCTCAATGCCATCCTTCAGCTTCTAAGCAGCTACTCATTTACCCGCTCGTCTGTACCCCAAGAAGGAGCACAAAACCACACAAATAATAAAGGGGTGAGAATATGCTCATAATACATAATGGTGCAAACTCATGCAAGGGTAGCCAAAATGAAATCAATAATTATTCAATACAATTCAATTACACACATCACCAAAGCTTTCTCAATCACCAATACCAATAGAATGCAAATAATGGCCATAATGCAATGTTTCACTAAAACATTCACTACATATGCAAATAATAAATGCAAATGTACTTAACACTTTGACTCAACAATTCATGTGGTACCATTATGGAAAACACGTGTCCATCTCACTCCTGATTCCCTACCATAGGACCAGATCATACCAATCGTTATCATCACCATAGGTAATACTTCATCAATTCTCATATGGAACCAGTTACTCACTCCTGAATCCACACCATCAGACTAGAGCAAACCAAAATTCATTGCTATCACCATAAGCAATGCTTCACTAATCCCTCATTGAAATTAGCTACTTGCTCCTAAATCCATGCCATAGTTCTAGAGCACACTAAAACTAGATCGAAGCTCGTACACCATGATGCATGACTCTTAACAACCTGCATTATCACCAAAATAATTACCATGCATTTTTCACCATTATGCACAACATCATTCATTATACACAATAATTAATCAATGTTAAGACAATTAACAAACAACACTAAACAACAGCAACTCAATAAATGCATATTCATAAGCATCCAATCATGTTAATTCATTATAACATCAACACATTATTAGGCAAACACAACTATTAACTAATAGATCATACATGTCATCACATGCATTCCAACAGTAGACACATGACTACAACTCAATCATTTCACCAAGCACTACCAAGAGGTAGCTTTGCATGTTATCTTTCCAACACTTTGAATAATGTATCATTTGAACCTACAGAACTCAAGTTGCGCTCGAAAATGTCTCACTTGGTATGAAATCCAGGGAGCTACTATGACCACCCTTAGAAGTTGCTACAACCCGTAGCACTCCCCAAACATCTCCCCCTTTGTGCACGCCTCTAGTACAAAAACCAGAGGGTTTTTACGGCCGCCCGTAGTAGCTACTACGACCCGTAGCAGTGACAAAAACCACAAAATTGTTTCGCAATTTTGTTTGATCGCTCTTGTTTTTTAACCATGTATCATCCCCCAAACCTTTATTTTTAACTTCTAATAGTCCCCAAACATACCACACATAATTGTACATGAAAACCTATGAATTTTGTCATATCCTTTAACATCTAAATCAACAATACATCATCAACTATCTAACAACTATCATGCAAATCACTCACCTAACTATGCATTTGACATGTTTTGTTCATCAATTCATAACAATATATGAATAACAATTCATACCAACATTATCCACAAGAACACATAAATTCTATGGCAAAATAGTACACAAACTTCACATCATACATCATACAAGTCATGTTATCAGATAATTTACATCATGTTCATCTTTCATTCAAAAAAAGGAAAAAGATATGAAAACCTAAAGGGATTAAGGACTTCCCTCCACCCAATTCATGCAATCTACATCATATTAGATGTAACCCCTCTCTCACCTTAGATTTTCTAGCAGCAAGTCTCTTCTCCAATGGTTTTCTTCTTCTCGGCTAGCTCTAGGGTTCTCTTCTTGCCTCTTTCTCAAGTTCTCTAAGAATTGGATGATCCCTAACTCTCCCTCACATTTTAGAATATATAAATAGGATTTTCTACACAACTCCTTTCAATTACCTCATTAGACCTCAACACTTTTAATTCACACTATCACCCAAAACTCTCATTATTCTATTATTAAACTCATATTAATAATAAATTAAATTTTCCACCCAATCTCTTATTTTCTCATCATATAATTATTATCCTATTATTTAAATCAAATAGAACTATTCTAAATCCCGATAAACTCAATAAATACACATTTATTCCAATAATTCACATATTCATCATAATAACACAATTTCACATATAATAAAATATGGATAATTCACTGAGCATCATAAAATAGTATAAATCAAAATTTGGTGTATTACAACTCTCCTCCACTAAAATAATTTTCGCTCTCGAAAATTATCTTAAGAAAACAAATCTGGATAAGACTCTCTCATCCGACTCTCTAGCTCTCACATCGCGATTCCATCTGTTGGTCCTCCCTATACCACCCTCACCAAGGCAATCTCTTTACCATGAACTTGCTTCACTTCCCGGTCCTTTATTCGTATGGGTGATACCTCAACAATCAGGTTCTCTCTCACTTACACATTGTCCACTTGGATCACATGAGACAAATTTGATATGCATCTCTTTAACTGAGACACGTGAAATACATCATAAATATTAGCAAGCGGCGATGGCAAGGAAATTTGA